CTAGTTTGAACTGTATTATGGGAGACATTGCTTTCTTTTTTTTTTGACGCTGTGAAATGCGTTACGCATACCCGCTTCACCCTGCGCGAGCTCCACGGGTGATGTGGGACTCCTCCTGTGGCCCCACCCCCGAAGGGGCTAGACAAGAAACAGAAGTTTACCCACTAACACTCAGTGATGTCCCTCTCATGGTGGGCGATGCGCGAGATCGGCCCGGAGGCCATGCACCGCGCGGTTCGCCCCCATTTCGGTCCGCCCTGAAAACGGCAGGTCCCACTCGGGTTGGGGGTACGCCTCAGAGACATTCGAGACGCAACCCCACGACGAGGCAGAGGCGTACAATGCCGATCGGTGCGCGAACCGGCCAGCTGCCCCTGACAGACAGTGCTTTCCTAATTACTGTAACAATTCAATATTGGAAGTGATCTTCCAGAATAATAAATACAGAAAGCTATTACTAACATAAGTTAGCCAAAATGTTTTACCAAAATCAAGAACTATTTGAAACAACTGTCATATACATATCAAACACTTATGAGCCACAAAAAAATTATAAAATAAATATTATTTAATTTAAATTTTCCTTATTATTCAATTATTTCACTGCTACAACAAATTTAAAATAAGTTTCTCACAGATATCATAATCAAACGTGTTTAACCATTGTTTTAACATAGTTTTTATATTATAGTTGAACGTTGTGACTATATTTGGAATAGTATTGATTATTGCATTATAAAAACGTGGTGCAAGACTGTTAAAGTTTCTTTTATTAAATGAACTTGAAACTGTTTGAATACGGAATTTGATCTTTCGTCTATGACCTCTTGGTGCAAGAATAATTTTCGGAACAACTGATCTATCATATAAACGTAAGCAATTGTATATGAAAATTTTCCGAACCGAAAGTACTTCGGCGTGTTCATACACAATTTTTGTAGGATAATGATAAGGAAGTGACAACGTGCTCTTTATAGTTCAATTAAATGGTTTTTGGCTGCGCCACCCCTAGGACCTATGCAATATTCTATAAGACACTGACAGAGAGTTTTATAGGTTTTTATTAGTAGATCTTTATTAGCAACATTCCTCAGATTTCTAAAAATAATAATAAGTATTCTAATTTTCTTTGACACGTGAATTATATGTGCATTCCCTCTCGAATGTTCATCAACTATCACACCGAGATATTTAATTTTATCAACTTGTTTCAGAAAGGGGCAGCTACATTGTAATTTAAAGTCAGTTTGTTTATTACAAGGATATATGTGAAGTGCAATGGTATCATTTGGAAGTGGTCTTGATACATTCGTTTTAGTAAAACACACGTATTTTGTTTTATCCGCATTGAGGGTCAGTAGACTGCTTTCTAGCCAGGAAGTAATTTTGCTCAAACCTGCTTCTGTTTTAGTCTTCAAGTTTTCCCAATTTGTAGCTTTAAAAAGTATGACAGTATCATCTGCAAACATAAAGAGAGAGAAATGCTTTTTGCAGGTCTAAAAATACTCGTATGCATTTAGATCCACTGTCTAGATAAGAACAGATCTTGTTAGTCAGATCCAGTACGCTATGCTAGTAGATCTTTTAGCACGAAAACCATATTGATAGGAGCTAGAAGTTTGTTGATCTCTAAATATTTTATCAAGTGCTTGTACACAATATTTTTAACGATCTTAGATATAGAAGAGAGAAGTGAAATTAGTCTGTAGTTAGAGGGAACAGATTTATCACCTGACTTATGTATGGGACTAACGACAGCCTGCTTTAAACATTCTGAAAATAATCATGTATCCAAACTAAGATTACATAAAAAGGTTATTGGTTCAGATATAACGTCTTTTAATCTTTTGACAGAATACGTTGAAATAAGGTCACCCCCAGAAGCACAGTCTGGTCGATAACCGTCAATTACTCGCCTCATCTGAATCGCCTCAACCTCATCTGAATCAGTTTGTAAAAAAGACATCGAGTAACACGGGCGTTTTGTTCGTGCTAATTTCGCTAAGTCTGAGTCTGATTTATTAATCTTGTTTAATATGGTTTCCGCTAACTTACTTCCCACTGTTGTAAAGTAATCATTCACAGCATTCAATGATTTTTTAGGGGTATCAGATATATTTAGAAATTCGGCAGCAGTTGTTTGTCTTTGGTTTATGTAACACACTTCTTTTACTAGTTTCCAAGTATTTTTTGCATTACCTTGATTGAGTTTTAACTTTTCTTGATAGTATTGATGTTTAAGCGCTTAAATGATATTGTTGCATATATTTCTATATCTTGTATATTCTATTTTTAACTGTGAGTCGTCTAATGATTTTTTTTTAAGGTTTTTATGAAGTTTATCCCTTTTTCTAATCGCTCTTATAACACCGGGTGTAATCCATGGTTTCAATGGTCTATTTCTATTTAATATTTTTACAGTTTTACTATTATTTTTTATTGTATCATTAAGCTTCTAGATAAAATAACTTGTTGCTAAATTGATATCTTTAAAATTAAATAACACTGACAACTATCCTGTTTAATGCATTTTATTATTTTGTCATAGTCTACTATTCTTTTTTGGATGCCCTTATTTTTATTTTTGTTATTGATTTTGTCAGAACTCATCTGTAAGACTACTGGACAGTGGTCAGTAAACTGATCTAGTACATAGGTTTTTGCTGTACTCTTCACCATAAAATAACCGAAACAAGTATTATACCTTGTCGGTATATCTACACATTGTCTAAATCCATGTGTAGAAAATAAGTTGACATACTCCGTTACATAGTCCGTTGTCTCATGACCTGGTAGTATATCTATATGGATATCACCAGTAAAAATTATATTAGGCGCTTTGCTGCTAGTTCAGATGATATCTATGGTATCCTAATACTTTTCAGTATTATGAAAACAGGGGGGTCTATATGAACATATTATTTGATAATAATCGTTTATAAGTGATAAGATTAAAAAGTTACCTTCACTGCAAACTGGTTCGTAACTGACGACTTGTAAATTATTTCTTACGTATGCTATCACACCATCATTTTGATTGAGGTATTTCTTTTTATTAAATGTATTATAATTCGTTATAGATGGTATAGATGAGAACTCATTTAACCAGTATTCAGTCAGTATAATTACATCACAGTCGAGATTCCATTTTGTCAAATAGACCAGAAATGAGTCCATATTACAGTTTACACTTCGTATATTTAGAGTTATATACGATATAACTGATAAAGATTTGGATTGATTGTTTTGTATTTTTATTATCAAAATAATTGATTTTAGTACAGTTAGATCATTAGGATGCATTTTTAATATACTCGGTGGAACAGAACGACCGACACTCCCGAGGTTCCTAGAGTGTACTATTTGTCTTTAATATGATGTAAAAAAAATTATAAGTCTAGGTCAAATAGTTTCGGAGATATTATAATACAAAGTTTTTGAAAAAAAATGAGTGTTTTCAACCCTGAGTCAGCTGTTTTTGGGACGTACTAAGGAAAAGTTTTTAATCGGTCATTGACTTCTTCATTTCTAAAAACGAACTAAACGAAACGAAAAAATAAACTAGTTTGTGATTTATAAGACTGCTTTCATGCAAATTCTACTAGACAATCAATAAACAAGGCAGTCAAAATGCTTAATTGATTTACAGACTAACAGCCGGTTTCTGATTTGAAAGTAGAAAATTTCTACTGCTTATTCTCAATAACCTAAGTTTTTTTTTTAATTTCACAAGTCAAATAGTCCTAGTTTTATCAAACTGCTATCAACCGATCATCAAAAAACTAAAATCAGAAACAAAAACTAAGTGATGTTAGTTTGAGACGTTTAACTTTAAATTCTCAATCGAAGAAACCGAGTGTAAAATTTCCTTAATTATTGTAGAAAGATCAGTCTAACATTAACCTACGTTATTTTAAAAGAGCAGTTCTCCAAAAATATTGTTTGAATGGGGTAATACTCCTTTAACAGCGGGATCGTTGATTAAACTCGATAAACTGATAAATCTTCCAGAACTTTGTTTTAAAAACATTGAGGAATTTGTTATTACAATAGCATTTAGAAAGAACATTAAAAAATACGTGATATCAAAAGACGAATAAAAAAATGTGAACCGAGTTCGTCCCTCGATATCAAAGTCCCACCCACCAGCCAGCCGCCAGGCGGCTTCATTATTCTGTCGGTATTTTCTGGCCGCTCAGTCGCCGCCGACCTTTTGTGCTAGAGTGTTGTTGCGCATCGCTGCCGACGCACCGCTGCGAAGCGTCTTTTTTTGTTGATTTTTGTTTTGTTCTAGTGCATTTTTAATTGAATTTTTGTTAATAAGATACTAGAGTGTTCGTCTTGAGTGTTAAGTTTAGATTTGTGTGAAATGTGATGTGTTTTGCGCGTGCATACACTGGCATGCAAAAGAGCGTGCTGTCAATGCTGAAAATGATCACAGAAGAATTGATCATTTTCAGCATTGACTATCATTAAGATATCGGTAAATAATTAAATTAAATTAATGTATTTCGCGGTCCGTTGTAATCTGCGCACAATCGATATGGCGCATGCGCGTTAAAGGGCTGTCAACACTTAGAAATTTAAAATTTTTACTCCTCCTCTATTTATAAATATTTGTCAAATAAAATGAACGTTTGCATGTAACCTAACTTGAAACTTTCGGCTGTGTCGGTAATTTTGTTCCTCCCGGTATAGGACTAGCGTGTAATGTTTTTAGATATATTTTATAATGTAGCTGAGATATGTAAGGAAATTCAACGTCCAACTTGATAAACTTTCTGTAAAGGAATATAATTACTGTCAATTGCAGAATATATAATTTGTTGAAGCTATGTATGTAATTAAAATAATATTGAATGATATGGCCACAGGCGATAATATATTTTATTTGTGTATATATAACAACGCTAAATATTTTATGTAGAACAAGAGAAATTATCATAAAGTAGTACAAAAATTTATGAGAAACAGACTTGCATAGTCATTTTTCCTTTTCTAATTTTGCCAAATCTAGCTTTCATTGAATTCAAATAAGAGGAGAGCCATCATCTTGAAGGAGGTATATTCTTCTAAATGAAGTCCAACGGTATTTGTATTTGTGAGTTTTTTTAAACTCTCTGGCTAAATAAAAATGATTTTTTTTTGATAAATTTTCAGATACAAATATCTGTAACTTCGGGCCATCTGTTTTCAAGTGATGTGTACTGAGTAAACCACCGTCATTATGTTTCTTGTTAAATTGTCTTAATCCACTCAAAAACCTTTCTTTCATTATAATAAATGTAAATTCGACTATTAAGGTATTATTTGAGGGTTTAGAATTTATACGGAACACGTCTTTGATATCTGGGGGTGTGATTGATATCGTACATTTAGAATGGTTCCCCATTTTGTAACAATTTCACATAAATGTTATTTATTTTCCTGATTTTTCTTAGGTATATTTCGAATTTCCAAGCTGCCAGATCGTAATTGTTGCTCCAAATATTCCACTTTTCCTTCTAATTGCAGTATATAATTACCATCCTCTTTCCTGTTATCTTCTATTTTTTTCAGCTTAATCATTACTTCTCATACTTCGCCGCAACAAATTCTACACTTTCCTTTAGCCTTAGGTTTTGAGATTTAAGTTCCCCCATTGTACTTTGCATATTGGCATAGTTTTCTTGTTGTTGTTCTTTCAGATCTTGGAACATTGAAAAAAGCCTTCGTTGAAAATCACTGAAATCCGATTTCTCAATAAATAGTTCGCGTTTTCTCTTAATACGACTCGTAATCTGCGAGAACATCGACTTATCATCCAGCCGTTCACTAATGTTAGGGTCCAAAGCATAATGCGTTATATCTGTATTAGGTGGAGTGCGGTCCACTGGCATATAAAAAGTACACAAAAATTTTTTTCACTCGTTGTATAAAAAATTAGTAGTGGGTAGTAACTGAGGCAACGAAATATTCAGCTCAGCTTATTCTGGTAGCAATCGAGCGATTCGTACAATTTATCTTTCCGTCCACTTTATGTAGACCTGTGTATTGTTCTAATGTCCCAAGTAGGTAGTAATATTAATCTATGCGCAAGTGCACACTGCGTGTATATTAGGGTGGAGCACGGATATATAAAAAAAATTTTTTTTAAGGTTCAGAATTCTAAGAGGAGGGGATTTGTGCCTTATGTTAAAGTAAAAAAAAATGTGGTATTTTTCATTTCATTTGGTTAACATCTTCAGCCTCCGCCCGCAGCTCTTTCAACAGCTTGAGTATGGCAGGGAAGCCTTATAAACAATAGTTCGCTTTCACCACCGGATTCGACTATGTTCGCAATTTCCTGGTCCGATAAGTTTTTAAAAATCGGTGGTTCGATAAAACTTTCTTGCCAATTTATTAAATCAATATATATAGACGCGTTGAAATCCATCAATGGCACTTGAAACAGTCTAGGTGTTGGAGGTTGAGCAGTACTGCGTGCCTTCAGTATGCGTCGAGCTGCCAGCTCTCTAACATGCTTTTTCTCATCTGTTATCATCGCAAGTAGAATCTTTTCAGGATGCGCAAAGTAACCGTTTCTTTGGATAACAGGATCCATAATTTTTTTAGATTTTCTGGTAGGTATCTGGAAGCCTTTATAATATTGAACAGATGACGCGTGCCATCTTTGCATGATGGTTTATTTTTAAGAAGGTGCGTAAACTTTGACCACAAAAGTAGCCAGAGTTTTCAAATTTTCAGATGGTTCTTCAGTTGATACATAGAAACGCAGTATTCGGTTAGCACGCGTGATCCAACGATCATGTGATAATTTTCCTGGAGATTTATTGCCTAGGTCTTCTGGAAATTCACCCGAAATTACCGCCGAGACAATTTTATACAAGTACTGTTGGTCTGTACTCAGATCTTTGGCCATTTCTGGTAGCATTTGACTTTCGATGCGTTCAAATTTTTTAACAGGCAGCTTTCACAGGTTTCCAGTGATTTTCCTTGTGGACCAATATTAAGTCCTGAAGTACAACCATCGAGATGAAGAAACATATGTCTCAAAGGCAGTTCGTTCAAGTGGAGTAAACAAATTATCCATTGGAGTGGTTTTTGTAGCCTTTTCTCAAGCAGCCTTATTACTCCAACATACTTTCCAGTATTCACATTCGTACCATCACAACCAATTGCCATAATTTTATCTTGGGAAACTTCTTTCTGTAGCAGAAACCCTGTTATCGCGGCTTCTATCCCTTTTGCTGTACCAACATCAGGTACCACGTATCCCATGTAAATGGATCCCGGCTCTTGATTCAGTGAAATCCTTTCCTCAACAACCATAGTCCTGTAGCATTTACCGCCTTTTTTGTCAATTTTCAAAGTTTTGTCTTTTCTCACGTCAAAGTATAAAGCCAAGAGCTCTGTAACTGCTGCATTTTCCATTATTTTTTCTCTAGTTTTAGTTCTCTCTCTTCGTAACTTGTGCCGATCAATGATCTCTACATCAGACCCAATGTCGAACAAAACAGACGATGCTATTGCTGCTGCTGCTCTATCAGACACTCCATACCTATCACATATCTTCGATAACGTGGGAAAATTAAGCGTCGATTTTTTTATTTTCTTTTCAATGATGTTTAAGATCATAGAAGATTCTTGCTTTTCTGACTCTGATGATGTCGCTGAAGAAGTACTAACATTTAGATCAGCTAACGTTGAAGTGCTGAAGGATGTGTTTTGGCGATTCTCCCGTTCATGTTTCCCTTTTAGAGTCTTTTGCAAATTTTTTGTAGCAGTAACGTCGATTCCGCTGATTACCATTATCCGAGTCGTTCTTTGATCGGTCAAAAAAGGATGCTCTGGTTTAGGAACCTTTTTATCCTTAGGACAGATACATTGAGCGAATTCTTTGCACTTGCATGCTGAAATATCAAAAAGTATCTTACTGCTTTGCTGAAAACTATTCAACTTGTCCGGGGAGAACCTCTTGATAGACTTGAGTAGATTTTTGCACTTTAAATGATATGCTTTCAACATTTGAACGATCCTTGTTTGAGTCACTGTTGGAATAGATGCAGTTTGCCATATATTTTCAGCCCTCGACGTTACTATATCTGCTATCTCACCAAAAATTGGTTCTTTTGCAGTTTCTAATAGTAATTTCAGTTGATGTCTCGTCCACTCATAGTATTTCATTACATCTTCGTAAGAAGGTAGAACGTTCTCTTTCATCTCACAAACATCACCTAATAGAGGACATTTGAATACACTCCGAGTTCTTTGCATAGTTGCCACGAAAGAATATCGAACGTATTTTAACGATAAACGAGCGTGCGACTGATCCGAGCTAAGATTAAAGCACTGACGACGCGCGCACGACGCGACAAGTGCAAGCTAAGTATCACCCCCCGCGCTTCCTCGCCCCCCTTATTTAAATTATGAAACACAAATTTCGATCGAACTTCGTTTTATTTTGTGTCGAATCTATATAATACCAAGTATACTTTCTTGATAAAAAATAGTATGTTTGTTTATTCAAAAATATCGTACATAAACATGACTTCGAATTAGAGTGTAAAAACCCGACTATTTTCATAAATTCAATGCCGTTGCGGAGGCAGTTACCCTAAACAAAATTTTATAATATTTTAGATGGTTTAAATTAAACCTATAAGGCAGCAAATTTCAACTATTATATTACAGTTCAATGACAAAAAAAAATTCGCTCCACCCTAGTGTATATATCGCTCTCACTCCACGCCGCCACACCACCGTTGAGTTTGTTATTCTGCTCGCACCACTGGTAGTAGCTAGGTGTAATAAATTGTGCGTGTGTACGTAGATGTTTTAAACACTCACTTGTTTGTGCGTTCACTAGCAGAATGTCCCCTTCGTGGCTATGCGTTCCTGGTACTTAGAACAATCTTCGAAGTAAATTAAAATGAATTTAACACTTGTTCAACTAGAAACACGTCTGTACACCACAGAGATCCGAGAGAAAGGCAGTATGTAGAAAACAGTGTTAGGTATTATACTACTATTGTGAATAACATAGTGAACAGAATTTCCAAAAAAAAATCTTTATTACAGAAATTACAGGTAAAAATGTCAAATTTAAATGATGAACCACGTTAAATTTTACCTTAAGTCAGCGGGAATTACTCGGCTTGCATAGTACAAATTAGAGGAACCTTTTATTACCTCCTAAAAATCTCTAAGTATCGTACAGCAATCGGAGAATCATAGATCCATGTTCAACAATTCGCAAGACAGAAGAAAAACCCTAATACCTGCAAGAAGAAATGAAATTTATTGATACAAAATGGATGTTTACAAAGAAGAAATTTATTGGTAGTCACCGTGGAAAAGAACTATCAGAGTAATCAAATAGATGTGAAAGTAGTTTTTATTTAAGAGAAGAGAGAGTTAAAGAAGTATATTTGAAATCACCAAATGAATATGATAAGAATGGAAATAACATGTGTGTTTTGAATTTAGAGAGATATTTGTATGGACTAAAGAAGTCACCGAAATACTGGTATAATCGATTATCTCATACAATGTCGATTTGTGGATTTAAACGAAAGATTATTGTTTGTATACTTAAATCGAGTTATATGTTCTATTGTATGTAGTCGATTTATTGTGTAACGGTTTACTTAACCCTTTATTTAAAACAGTTAAAATTTTAAAATTAAAGTCTAAATTAAATTAAATTCGTAATAACTTAATCCTAATCTAACAACAAAGAAAAAAGAACAATGAATAAAAATACAATACGTGAACAAAGTTAACTTTCTTATAATTAAATAATAACAACTTAAAACTTAATCAAATGAAAAAATAAATAAAATATTTTAATAAAAATTATAAATAAATAAATTCCAAGGCAAAGTCAGGACAGAGCGGTTGTATGTTAAATCTATTGTTCGTAGGCTCGCGCATCGTCGACCGAACCTGCAAGCCGATTTCTTAACAGCGAGCAAGACAATTTTTATACTACCGCAGAATTAAGACAAATTCTCGTCATTTAAAATATTTTCTAAGCTGTTTTACTTTCTTCTGAATTTAAAATATAAATATTAACTTGAATTTAAACACAGTTATTGTGCTAATTATTCCCAATATTAAGGGTAAGTGTTGCAAAAATCTTATAAACATATTTTAAATTTCTTGCTGCAGTTTTAGTTGTGCAATGCAAAGCACTCACTTTTACTAAAGGTCACCTCCACTTATATGGCATAATTTCATCATACATTGTTAGAATCGCTTTCTTTTGGATTTGTATATTTATTTATTAAGTTTTTAATGTTTAAATGTGTGTTACACTGAATTAGGCGCTCTTCATCATTAATCTTGTAAATTGAAAGATAGCAGATACCTATTGTTTGATTTATCTAGAAATAAGTACTTAGTGGACAGTTTTTCGTGAGACCTCTATTGTCTTAATTTTAAATACGTTAATTAATAAAGTAATTACAGAAATAGGTCTATCGAAATAATTTTGTAGGGATTGTGTTTTTTTTATAAGTACCAATTTGTATTAATTTTAATTATTCAAATTCTATTTGCCTCATCATTAATCACTATTACCGTCTGCACCTGCAGCTTCGCTTCACTTCTCCATCTCCACGGCTGCAGATTCACTGATGCATTATTATAGTGAACAATATTAAAAGACCCGCTGTAACATTATTCTAGGGTGCACCTCTACGTCAAGGCCAGTTCAATATAATGTGGTTTTGGATCAGAAGGTCATCCCCTAGCACACTGCCGCCGCCGTGGACGGATTCCTCCTTTACGATTCCACCCCCCTCTTTTTTAGATAATGTTAGTTATAATTGTTACTAAATTGTCTATCTGTCTGTTCTGTATCTGTCTTATTTAACATTTTGAGTTCCCCGGCACAATTGATTGTAGGAAATTTATTGGTGAGATGAATAAAGTAAAAAGTTTCTTTAATACTCAATTTAGAATGAAAGATTTAGGTAACGAAGATATTATATATGTGGGTATTACAATATATATAAGACATACTGATCTTATTTTTATTAATCAAACAATATATTTAATGAACATATTAAAAGTCAGAATGACAGATGCAAAGACGTGGATACCCCAATGGATATGAATTTCAGATTTAAAGCTTATACTGTTAATATGAAGTGTGAAAGGTAATGCAAACAGTAAATACAAGACCAGACTTGGCCTATTCTGTTAACTATTTCAGTAGACATCAAACTAAACCTAATGAAACTCAGTGGAAAGCTTTAAGATATGTTTAAAATACAAAATAATTTTCGAGTAGAACTATAACATAATTTATGTTCTTATAACGAAATTATATTAATTTAAGTAATACAAGTATCAAGATGTTTTTATATTTTTTCCATTCATCATCAGCCCTTTCTACGTCCTTACTGCAGGGGCTCAGGCCTTCCTTATGGAAGGTTAAGGAGGATGGGCCATGACCCTCCACGCTGGCCCAATGCAGATTGGCGGGTATTAACGACTGCGAATGCAGCCGGGACCAACGGCTTAACGTGCCTTCTGAAGCACGGAGTAGCTCGAGATGATAATTTTTTGGTCACCCATCCCGTGACCGACCCTTGCGAAAGTTGCTTAACGACAACGATCGCGCGACGCGGCGCTTATCCACTACGCCACCGAGCTACTACTCAATTTTTTTTTTCCAATGTTGTCTTTTACAAATATTTTTAAAAGTCCTTTTTAAAGGTATTATGTTGAGTATTTATTTGGTTATTTCACAATAACTTTTTTTTTTCAGCTAGAATCAATATCGGTGATATTTTTAATAATAATATTAGTGGTGTACAGCTCTATGGCGGAGTTTCGAAACGTGCCCGGCTTCAATATGATCGGCTATATCACCAGTAAGCTGTTATCATATTTGTCTGTAGGTATGTGGGAAATCGGATATCCAATAAGTTTCAACGATTACCCGGCATTAGGTAAGTAGGGACTTGTATTTAAACCTATTATTAAGAAAGTTATACTCACATCCTCAAACATAGATAACGTTATACATTTTTTTTTGACGTGAAGTTGAAATACTATAATAGAGTACGTTTTTTGCCATGTAATACAACGCCAATGTCAATTATTAAAATATTGATTTTGAATTTTTATTTTGAAATATCACAATTGTTTGATTCTGTTTACATATAAGGAATAACATGACATATCTACTTTTATTTGTCCTAATTATATTGACGCATAAATTTTTTAAGTATTATAATATTAAAGCATATCATCCTAAATCACAAATATAAAAACTTCTATAAGGCGCTCATGGACCGCTACCTCGGCGCTGACTGGGTCACATTTTAATATAATTTAACCGATTAATCGGATCTTTTATGTCTATTAATATTATGCGAGTGTAAGCGACGTGCTCATTAATATATTTCCTTTCACCTTGTAAATGTTATAAATGTTAGTGGGTAGTGAAATAATAAAATCGCAAAGATGTATAAGTAACAATTCCTTTCGCGAGTTAGTGTTCTGCACCCATCCGCGCTAGCAACAAGTCTCACATTTCGCCCATACTGTAATAACCACTGGAAAGTGTAATAAACCATTTTTAAGTATATTTACACGTATCACTCCGTACTGCGGGCCCTGCAAGGTACAAGTTGGTCTTCGAGCGGATATTTAATGTTCTTTACACCACCCAGAATGGTAAATACCCGCAGTACCATACGTCGTGATCGTGAACAACTGGACCTAGAAAAAAAAGAAATACCTCAAAACACTCAGATAAGTGAAGATAATACTCAATCCATCATGAGAAAAAACGAAATCGATATGAAAAGCGAAGATATCGAGTGCACCGGAATAACATCTTCATTGGCGGGTACAAGTGTAAAACGAGAAAATCCGTTACAACCGCCAACCAGGCACGTTACGCAGAAAAGTATTTCGAAAATGTCTTCAACATCATCAGTACTGGCAAGGAAAAAGAAATTACAGTTAGAAGCTGCGAAACAGAAGGCGAAAATTCAAATGGAACTTATAGATAGACAACTGGAAGCGGATATAGCAGAACTCGACGATGAATTATACAGTCCGCATAATGATGAGCTAATCACACGCGAGCGCGACGTTGAGCAATGGCTAGAGAAAAGCTGTCAATTATCAGAAAAGCTTATCCACCAACAGGAAACCCAACCGGATGAGCTGCATGCTACGGCGCCACTTCAAGGACAAATGTCACAACCCACTCAGAAGGGAACCGACATTGGCGAAACCATGCACCTACTGGC